TAGTCTCCTGTGAACCACGGCAGCACACGGCGAATTACAGGAAAGGGAGAAAAATGAGACTGAGAAGAAGCTGAGCTTTGGGTCTGATCAGTGCTGCTCTGGGCAGCAAAGACGTAATAATAATTTTTCTTCTGACACAGGAACTTTAAATAATAAATCCACATGGATAGTTTTTGTTTTGTTTTTGCAGTACTGGGGATTAAGCCCAGGGATCTCTGAGCTATGTCTCCAGCCCTTTTTAAAATTTTTATTCTGAGACAAGGCATTGGCATTTCTAAGTTGCCCTTACTAGCTTCAAACTTGGAGACCTCCTGCCTCAGCCTCCTGAGTACCTCGGATTATATGTGTGTACCACTATACCTGGCCACATTGGTAATTTTTCATGTACACTGTCAGTGGCCATAGGTAATAATAATGTCATCTCTTGATTATCCATTCTTACATATTTCAAAGTTACCATTTAATAAAAATGGATGAAAATAATCCCATGATAATATTTATTTGCTCTTGGAATGACATTTTAACATTTTTATGTGACATTCTAGGAATTACCTGGACCTCAGACAAATAAATTTAACTATAAAACTGAATAACTTATTTTTGCTAAAATTTTAGACTTTAGTCCTTAAACTCATTAAAAATCAGATGATTGTATAAGTGTGAATGCCCTTCTCTTTAGTCACACTCAGGAATGAGAGGGGAGGGAAATGAGATAGTAGTTATTTAGTTTAGGCCTTTCATCAGTTTGGAAATGAGGGAGCAGGGCCAGTAAATTTGCTCCTTTCACATGGTAACACTGGTACAGTAGTTCAGCCACAATTGAAATTGATTTCTCTAGATTCCTAGTTTATTGTATTTCTTTACTGTATGTACCTCCCAGCATGGTATGTTTCCACTGAGCTACATAAACAGTGTTGCTGATCTACCTGATTATAATCTAATGATGAGGTATAGATGATACTTGATTACACCTGGAAAATATAACACGTTATGAGTTTTTTGAGTTGATAAAATCTTTTTTCCAATAATAGCAATTTTTAGCATTTATCAAATTTCTAATTTTTTGTAATCAATGCTTTTATCCCTTCTAGAATTTGTTGTTATTCATAATGGAATCATCACAAACTACAAAGACTTGAAAAAATTTTTGGTAAGTACAGTGACCTCAGGAGACCCCAGTCTTAAGCCAGGAGTGGTGTCATATGCCTGTAATCACAGCACTGGGGAGACTGAGGCAGGAGGATCCCTGCAAGTTCGAGGCCAGCTTGGGCTACATAGTGAGTTCAAGGCCAGCCTGGACTACCTAGTAAGACCCTGTCTCAAAAAAAAAAAAATACCCCAGTGTTTGAGAATACCTTGTACGAGGGATTGAACTTGGGACATTGCACTTGTGATGTAGGCAGGGGAACCACTGAGCTAAATCCCCAGCCCAATTTAAGAATGGTAAGGTTGGGGGCTGGGGATTTAGCTCAGTGGTTCCCCCGCCTACATTGCAAGCTTAAGGACCTGAGTTCGATCCCCGGTACCAAACAAACAAACAAACAAAAAAAGAATGGTGAGCTTGTTTTTTGGAATGTGCAGTACCATCTTGGTGTCATCAAGTAATTCCTAAGACAGTTACAAGGGTATGGTGGTTTTGGACTTTTCTTTGTTAACAGTGAAGCAATTCTATTTCCTTATATGAAAAGGAAATAATTATTTGACTTTATTGTAAATGACTAAAACTCAAATAAAATTGGGATGGAGGTATAGCTTAGTGACAGAGTGGTTGCCTGGATCCCTGATATCACACACATACATACATAAAGTCTTGGGGGACATTTGTTATGCTGTGAGATACATTGTTTGGTATTTTAAAAAAGTTTCTGGGATATGTAAGAAGAATCAGTACAGATTAAATAAAATATGTATGTCCTAAATATCTATGTGCTATGCTGGGATAGTTGCAGTGGTGACCTTCATGAATGCCTTCTCAGAGCTGTCTAGCTGAGTTTTCTGCACTGATGGCAGTGTCCTGTGTTAGTGCCATCTAATGCAGTTGCCACTGTCCGCATATGTTGATTGAGCTGCTGTGACTAATTTTTAAATTTTCATTAATTTCAGTTAAATTTAAATAGCCACATGTAGCTTATGGCTATTTTATTCAACAGTGCAAATCAAAAAGAAAGACTTGTTATATTCATTGTGCAATTAGTGTTTTGAGTGTCATTTTAATTATTTAAAATTAATACCATACATATGTGGCATATAGCTTAGGTGAAGTATGTGTTCAGTTTATAGAATACCATGTTATTTGGGGTTCACGAATCAGATGGTGGCCTTATTTTTGAACAATGAGCAAATGGGGTGTGGCATTAAAAAATATTAGAAATTTGAGAGAAAAATTCTATAGAAAAGACATGGATATCATGACTATTTCCTTGATTTTTTTTTTCTTCTCTGCTTACAGGAAAGCAAAGGCTATGACTTTGAATCTGAAACAGACACAGAGGCAATTGCCAAGCTTGTTAAGTACATGTATGACAATTGGGAAAGTGAAGATATCAGTTTTACTACATTGGTGGAGAGAGTTATTCAACAATTGGTATGAATCTATACTTTCATTGTGACTCAAGTTTAACTTTCTTTATGTCAGAGTTATACTCCATTGTGTATAAATACTACATTTTCTTTATCTGTTCATCTGTTAAGGAACATTTAGGCTGCTTCCAAGATTTAGCTATTAAGAATTGGGCTGGCAGTAACATTGATATGCATGTATCACTGTAACATACTGTCTTTAACTGTTTTGGGAAGATAAACTAGAAGGGAATAGCTGGGTCAAATGGAATTTCTAGTTTCAGTTTTGGAGGAATTGCCATACTGATTTCCAAAGTCATTATACTAGTTTATATTCCCACCAATAATGTAGAAGGGTTCTCTTTTCAAAACACCATTGCTAGTATTTGTTATTATTTGGTTTCTTGACGATGGCCATTCGTTCTGGGGTAAGATGGAATCTCAGTGTTGTTTTAATTTACATTTTTCTAGTGGCCACGGACATGGAGCATTTCTTCATATATTTATTGGCCATTTGTACTTCTGAGAAGTGTCTTTTTATTTCAGTTGCCCATTTTTAAATTGAGTCTTATTTGGGGGGGGTCTAATTTTTTTGAGTTCTTTATATATTGTAGATATTAGTCCTCTGAAATATAGCTGGGAAACATATTTTCCCACTCTGTAAGTTGTCTCTTCACTCAGTTTGTTTTTCTGTACACAGGTTTTTGATTTGATACAATCCCATTTGTTGTATCTTGATACTATTTCTTGTGCAACTGAAGTTTTGTTCAGAAGGTCCTTGCCTATGCCTGTGAGTTTTTACCTTGAGATTTTTTTTTTTGGTACTGGGGATCGAACTTGGGTCCTTGTGCTTTTGAGGCAGGCCGCGGAACCACTGAGCTAAATCCCTGGCCCCTTGAGATTTTCTTTTTGGAGTGCTGGTTTGGTGATCATGAATTTCAAGTGTTCTTTATCATGGGAGCATCATTTCTCCATCAACTTTAAAGGATAGTTTTGCGGCTATATGAGCCTGGGTTGAAGATTGTTTTCTTTTGGGGCTTGAAACTTTTCATTCCAGGCTCTTCTGGCATTTAAAGTTTGTGTTGAGAAGTCTGTTATAATTGTAATCGGCTTTCTTTTTTAAGTGATTTGTTGCTTTTTCTAACTGCTTTTAAGATTCTGTTCTTGTGTTCAACTTCTGGAATCTTGACTCTGATGTGTCTTGGAGAGGTTCTTTTCTGAATGTGGCTATTTGGGGTTCTGCATGTATCACTTAACTGTATGTAAAATTCTTTTCCCTTATTTGGAAAATTTTACGCTATTATTTCACCAAAGAACTTTTTAATGCCATTTGTGCTCTTTTGATTAATTCTACTTAAATCTGAGGTTTGGTCTCTTTGCATCATGTAGGAGCTGTTGGATCCGTTTTTTCATTTTCTTCCATTGTTTTTAAGGTATTTCTTATTAATTAATCATAGAGAACAGTTCTGCCACTCTAGTTCTCAACATTGGTCACTTTTGCTGCCCATGTTTTCGATATAATTTTTAATCTCTTGAATTTCTGTACATAGCTGTTTCCTGGACTCTTAATCTTTTTCTGTGCTGTTCATGTGTGTTTTGCATCATTTTGTTTAGGTCTTCTAGCTTTTTATTAGTGTCTTCTGTAGACTTGCTGATCATTTTGTGTATTGGCCCAGTAACTTAATACTTAAATCTTCTGTTAGCTTGCCAAATGCTTTCATCTGTTGTTGTTTTTCATCTGTTTTGTTATTTCCCCTAATAATCATTTCAGATAATTAGGGTGTGTAGATTTTGGTTTCTTCCCCTTTGAGGGTATGTGGATCACCTTTGAGAGATTTGGTAGTTGATGGAGGCATTTTGTTGATGCAGGCATTTGTTGTCTTCTCATGCTTCTATTTTTTGTTTGTTTGTAAGTATTTTAGTGAAAAGGCTTATGGGTTGATTTTAATGGACAACTCTGTTTCTAGTATGAAGACTTCTTTAGATAATGTCTGCTTTTCAGTGGTGACCTTTGGACATGGCTAACTATTGGCCTTTGCCTCTGTCCCAGGATCCATTCACCTCCATTTACTTGAGATGGGAGGTTGCAGTGTTTTTGGTCCATTACCCAATTTTCCAGGAATGAGCTACTGTATATTTTATGATCCCAAAACAGTCTAGATATTGGCATCCCAAGAAAGCCACTTAGTAGCAATAGCCGTGTCTCCTTGGCTATAGTATTAAAATTGGCATCAATTATAGCATCAAATACAAACTGAGTATTGACAAACCCTAGTGACCAATAAAGTATCACCCTTAACCATAGAAAACAGATCTGCAATTATGATATGAACACCAAGACAGACCAATTATTGACCTTCTGTTGTCCTATGATAAATATCTACTAAATGGAACAAGTTTACCTGTACTGACAATAGAACAGTGTTCAACGACAGTAATGTAAAGTTAACTAGTTATGTAGAGATTCATAAAACTTAGTAATTATACTAATAAAGGTAGAGGGAATGGAGAACCAGTGAATGAAAAAAGCAAAATTTGAAAAATTAATCAGATATGAGGAGGAGGAGAGAAAAGTGACATTGGGGCTCCTTTCAAGGAGTAAACCAAAATTAATAGTGGTAGAGAAAAGTTTCAGTAAAGAACAAACAGGAAAAAGAAGAAAAAAGATAACAGAGAGCAAAAATAGGAAATGGAAGATAAGGAAGACCAAAAAAGGGGAAAAAAGGAGATAAAAGAAACTAAAAGTGGGGAAAAAAGGGAGAAAAAAACCCCCAAACCCTCAAATATCCCAATGAAGAGAAGATAAAAATAATACAAAGTAGAAAAATCAATAAGAGATTGAGTTAAAGAAAAAAATTCCTGTGTTATTCAGTGAGTGATTTCTTTTCAACAACTACAGTCTTGTGATCCAGTCAGTTGCAATTTTCTGTGCCTACCTTTAGGGCCTGTGGGTGTTTTAGGTGTCCTCCCTGTACCAGAGGTCCACCTGTCCCTTTCCCCTAAGATTGTGGTTACTGCCCAAGCCAAGGTATGTCCTTGCTCCCATTGGTATATGGGGAATGCAATCAGCCCTCTATTTTCTGCTGGATGTAGGCTGCATGACGGGTTGGAGTGGGCTGGGGTTTGGTTGATCTCTTTTTTCCTTGGGCATTGTTCTTGTTCAGGATCAGATTGGTTGATTAGTCCTCATCTCTTCTCCTCGTGCCATGGGAAAGGAAAATGTAGATCTGGCTTGGAGTTGGTGGGTGGTTGCGCCCTTGTGTCAAGAGACTCTGTGCTTCTGATGGGAGCTTGCTTACTTGTGTGGAGGAGGGGTACCACACAGGTCTGCTTATTCCTTTGTGGGAGGGTTACTGCTTTCTGGCAAGGGTCTGCTCACTCGAGTCAGTGAGGGTTGTCACTGGTGTGGCGTGGGTCTGCTTGCTTGAGTGGCTGAGGGCTGCTGCTTGTCTCATGGAGGTCTGTTTGCTCATATGGATCTGTTATGATTTCTGTAAACAGATTTCTTATTTCATCCATGCTGCCCTCTAGTTTTTCTGTAACTCCAATTACCATTAGGTTAGTCTTAGCATGATCTAGTAGCTTTTGCATCAGTTTTCCTTATTTTCTTGTTGTTTTTACTGTACCTCTATGTATGCTTTTGATTCCAATCTGTCCTTAAGGTCTTACATTCTCTCTTCACATTGATCTTTTCTGCTGTTCATATATTCAGTAGAATTATTTATTTATTTATTTAAAAAATTTTTTTCCCCACTAAGTTTATTGGCACATTTTAGGTATGAAATACATTTACATACATCATTGGGATCTTGTACCATTACATGAGTATCTTGATTCTTATTTTTTTACCCCTTCCCCTGCCCTCCCTTCACCCCCTCCACCCTTCCCTATTTGCAAAGATTTTGTTTCCATTTTTTTCCTTTTCACATATTTTTTCTTTTCCCTTCTTTCCTTTTCCCTACCCCTCCCACTTCCCCTGCTCTTTTAGACCTTTTCTTCTCTTTACACAATATCAGTTATACATTTTTAAAATTAAAATATCAAGACCTAGGAGACATTACCACAGATTTTACAGAGTTGAAAAGGATATAGAAAGCATATTTCAAAAATCTGTTTTGAAATATTCTTGACAACTTCTAAGAAGTACCTTGGAAGACAAATTAATGAAACTAACTCTGGAGGAAATATAAAATTTGAATAGCACCTATTAAAGAAAGTAT